TTACCTTCCTACTTTAAGCACCTCAAACCTGGCCCTTTGGCATTTTATTAATTGCCTGTTGTGTAAATTTGCCATTTAAATGGAAGAGATAAATATTCACATGTATTTCTGTTTCCCTTTATTGTGCCAGTTACTGAATCATTTCACTGCTCATCAGTAATTCCATCTAATGTAATTCCATTCTGAGGGAGTATCTGTCTGAGATACTACCTCTGCAAAACGGGAGTGAGCTGCAGGACAGCCAGGTGGAGCTCCTGCAGAGACAGCAGTGGCCCTTGGCTGGTGATCTTGGTGAATCTTGTAACGAAGCACTGTAACGTTGCACCTTTGTTGTTGTTTTTTTTTAATTTTTTTAATTTATTTTTTATTTTTTGACAGGCAGAGTGGACAGTGAGAGAGAGACAGAGAGAAAGGTCTTCCTTTGCCGTTGGTTCACCCTCCAATGGCCGCCGCGGCCGGCGCGCTGCAGCCGGCGCACCGCGCTGATCCAATGGCAGGAGCCAGGAGCCAGGTGCTTTTCCTGGTCTCCCATGGGGTGCAGGGCCCAAGCACCTGGGCCATCCTCCACTGCACTCCCTGGCCACAGCAGAGAGCTGGCCTGGAAGAGGGGCAACCGCACCTTTGTTTTAGAATCAAGTCTCCTGTTATGTCCTGAAGTAGGAATATTTACAGACATTCTATACATGCACAGCTTCAAAAATCTTTCTAGGGAAGTTTTCATAGATATTTTAATGTTACTTATCTCTAGCGTTTAGAGGTCTTTGAGTGGTTGGGAGCTGGCCCTGGTTTGAGGCCAGAAGTCTGACAGCACCCCGTCTTGGAAGCTGGAGGTGCATGATGGGGGGCACTGCATCTTTTCTGGTGGATGTGCTGTGGAGCACATCCCCTCACCCAGCCCCTTCCCATGTCCTCACGTGTAAGCAGTAAAGTGCTCTTTATGCCCTTGGCACAAAGAAAGTTTCCTATGCCACATTCATCGAGTTCCTTGAATTATTTATTGTCTTCACTTCCTTACTTCTCACTGATTTCTTAAAAAATGAATTTTTTCCATTTTTCTCCTTGTTCACTTATTGTAGAAACTAGGTAAATAAGGAATCTATCAAATGAGCACCTGTTTATATTGTATCTGGAATTTGGGGTGAAGGTCATGGGTAGGGATGAGGGGGTAACAACACAGATGATATTTAAAGCCGCAGGCACCTGTAATGCCACCAGACAGGTACTGGTTACTGTGCACATATCCCCTCTACAGTTTCACTATTCTGTCTTTATTCAGCTGCACAGACGGCTGTGATGTAGCCGGGCTAGTACCCTGCTGTCTGTAGTAAGATGTTTACTCCAGTGTTTGCATGCCTGCTGCTCACCATCATGCACCCTGTGCTCACATATATCCTAATAGCAAAACTCTTCATATTTCCTTCTGAAAATTAAGGAAAAAATGTATGAGAAGTAAACCAGGTAAACCCTGGGGTCACCAACTTTTAAATGGAGATAACCAATGATACTGAGTACCAGGCAAAAAGAAAGACAAGAGCAAATGAGGAGACCATGTATATCACAGAGGAAGGGAGAGAGTGTGTAGGAGGAGGCCAGTGTGCAGTGCACAGATGCTCCCAGAGCTAGAGTGACAAGGGTTCCTCCTTCAGCACTCCTGGGGACTTGAATCTTACCATGAGGCAGTTCTACTCTCTATATCCTCAATCTTTTTTAAAAATAAAATATTTATTTATTTATTTGAAAGGCAGAGTTACAGAGAGGCAGAGGCAGAGAGAGAAAAAGGTCTTCCATCTGTTGGTTCACACCCCAGATGGCTGCAACAGCTGGAGCTGAAGCCAGACGCTTCTTCTGGGCCTCCCACGTGGGTGCAGAGGCCCAAGGCCTTGAGCCATTTTCTGCTGCTTTCCCAGGCCATTGCAGGGAGATGGATTGGAAGAGGAACAGCCAGGACTCCAACTGGCACCTATATGGGGTGCCGATGCTACAGATGGGGGCTTTATCCTGTTGTGCCACAGCACTGGCCCAGCAATTCTTCTAAAAGAGCTGTTACTGCTTCATCTTTTTACCTGCCTGCGTCTCCCTATACCTCGAGATGCCCCTGAGAAAGAGACTGATTCCTTAAATGTTCCTAGTACCAGTTGTGTGGCCTGTGCTCAGAAGAGAATGCAGAGTGGTAGGTATGATTTAGGAGTGAGGAGGAAGGGTAGCATTATCAGAAAAATGGCAGTGAATTCCTCTGTGATAGACCTTGAGTGATGAGAAGATTTTTGCCAGTAGAATTTAAGCTGCAGCCTTTGTAGATGGGATTCCTGTTCTGGCCCAGTGGATCCACCTTGGACTGTAAAATTAAACATGGAACGAGGAAGTTTTTTATGTGCACTGCTCTTTCAACAGATGGAGGTGACATGCTGTAAATTAGTATTGCTCTTCTGTTTAATTCTGCTGCTTTTTACCATATTTAATGATGCTCAGTCAGGTTTGCTGGTATTTAAGAGACTTGCTAATCATTTGCAGCATGTTTGCTATTTAAGTTAACCCTAAGCACTAGGTTCTAAGGTGTTACTGATCTGTTATAATGTGACACACATGGATGGACATGTTTATTTTCTGCCAGTTGTACAATACGTGCAAAGCATGTATGAGTATTTCTGTCCTCTGCTGGTCAGTGCCAGTGTTTCCATCACACCTCAAACAGGTTGGTGCTATAAACAAAGATGCGGAGAGCAAGAGAGAGAGGGGAAACATACAGGAAGGATGACCCTTGTGACTGGAAAATGTGTTAATGAATTTAGTTGCCCACTGTGGACCCCATCCACTTTTACCCATCATTCAGCTGTGGCCTCTCACTTCCCAGTTCCCAGTGGCCCATCTGTGTTTTAAAATGAATAGAAAACACCGAATTGTTGTTATAGTCAAGATGTAATAGGAGTAGTGACATTTAAGTTGCTAAGAACCTGTTATTTAAAAATGAATATTTAAAAAAAACCATTAAAATACAGGAAGCATAAGAGATGGTTTAGAAGAGAAATACTGATGGTGAAGATTGAGCCTTTCTAAGTCACTTTTACCTGTTCTGTTTTCTACTGGCTTTCAGTTCACATAACTTCACATATCCCAAGAAGGACAATTCTACAGTAAACCATTTCCTAACGCAAATACGGGGTGGCAAGAAACAGTTTTTATCTTGATGGGCTCAGGGTGTGGGCCCTCCAGATAGAGAATTGATTTGGATTTCTGTGATGTTATGAGAAATGGTGAAAGCATCTGGTGTTTATAAGAACTCTCTTGAATTATGCTTTATGGTAGTGTATAAAGTATTCTTTGAAGCAATCAGTTGCGGGTTTTTGTTGTTGTTGTTGTTTTTTCTGAGCTGGGCAGGTGTGCGTTTTGGCTCAGTTGCTTGGTTTTTTTTCCATCTTATGAAGGGCATTTGGGCCTTGGCTGTGGCCACATGGGCTGTCATCCCTCACTGTTGCTATAAGCAACAGTTAGCAGTTATTCCACTTGAAGGTTTACAGTAGGAATTGGAGGGTGCAGAGTTCTGGAATGTAAAAGGCAACCATAACAATCTGATGGTAGAAGTATCTCGAAAGCTCCAAAAGCAGGTTCCTTTAGGTTGTGCTCCACAACCATTACATATGCCACAAAAGATGAGGAAGAAGGGTGGGGCAAAACAGTTGGCATTTATCTGACTGCGCATCCCCAGACTGCGCGAGCTCCACAGCGCTTGCCTGGCCCTGCATTCTGCAGGCAAACACCCCGGAATGTTCCAGCCTTTAAATAGCAGCAAGTCCTCTAAAATGATGCTGCGTGCTGCAAGAGGAATGAAAGCGGCTGCCTTGGAGGCAGGAAGCCGGCAGGCGAGATGCTTAATTATTGTGGAAGTAAGTGCTTGTTACGTTGAGCGGAGAGTGCAGCCAGCCGGGTCCTCCTTGGTGTCAGAGTGTGATTTGTAGACAATGCCACCCTGTCATCTTTCCAAGCACGCATTTGGCAAGAATTTAAAGGCCACCTCTTGTGTAATGTGTGGAGTTTTGGAGAAGGATCGTCTGCCTGTCTTTTCAGGATGTACGCAACCGTGCAGGATTTTGTACTCAGAATCCCTGCCTGCCGCCTCCAGCCTGCCATGCTGGTGAGGAAGTTGGCGTCCCTGCCCGTCACCTGGAAGGATGGTCACAGTTCTCTGTGACCCCTGGGGAACATGGCAAGGGCTCCCCAGCAGCATTTTGCTTCCGCACTCTTCGTAAATTAGCACTGATGTGGTGGAGCCGGCTGCAGTGCTCAAGGAAATGCAGGCATTTTGTTAATTAGGAAACACTTGCAGCTTTAAGAGTAGATGACGCTCAGGAGAGCTTGGGAAGAGATGGTGGTTCGTGCCGGATTCATCCTGAGATCTTCCCGTCGGGGTAAGTAAGAAAGTACAGGGAGGTGCAGACGAGTGCCAATGGATAGAATGGCTCCCGGGGAAACCCTGTTTATTTTCCTTCTGCTGTATTTGTCTTGCCAACTATGTAAAGCCTTTGTAAGGAAAGAGAAAACAAGCATTGATTTTGAAATGTGGAAGAACTTACAAAGTGAATGTGGCAGCATATTCAGTATAATGATTTTTCAATTTTTAGTTTTGTCAGAAACCTGTGTTGCTCTGATTACCTGAGTCATTTGGTTGTGTCTCAAACTTCTCACCTTTGTTAGAGATCATTGGAGCCAAACTCTGCTCCTGGGGTAGAAACCTTTATCCCCTGTTCTGTGAAGCAGCTCAGCTCAATTAAACTGAAGTATTCATGTTAAGTGTTTTTTTTTTTTTTTTTTAATGGAAGTGATGGGTTTTACTAAATAATTGTCCTTCCCTTCAAATCTTCTTCACTAAAGATAAGGATTGTGAATTGTGAGCCACAGTCTGTTATTGAGTCTCTTAATTTGCCTGTGTCTGGCCCCTGCAGTTGCATATTTATTTTTAGATGTATTTATCAAGGGTTAATGCACACTGTCCTTTTCTGTTTTAGAGAAAGCATGGGATCACGCCAGTCACAGAGTCCCAGTAAGACAAGTTCTGTTCAGTTTCTTCTGAAAGAAAGCCATCTCCTGAAGTGAAGCGAAGGAGCTCTGTGGATTACAGTGTTCTGAAGATCTGGATTTTCAGTCATTTGAAAATAAGGTGTCATTTTTCCTTTTAAATGAAAAAAATCAGATCTCATGCCACTGTTATATTTTCTGGAAGCCGTTGTCCCAGAGGGAAGCGCATGTTAAAGGAGCAGACGTGATGGTCCTTTCTGCAGGGATTTCAGTCTGATCGCGTTGACATCATGACCAGCCTGAAGCGGTCACAGACGGAAAGGCCTGTGGCCACTGACAGGGCCTCCATTGTCGGCTCAGACGGCGCCCCCAAAGTCCACACCGATGACTTCTACATGCGGCGCTTCCGGTCCCAAAATGGCAGCTTAGGATCATCAGTCATGGCTCCCGTGGGGCCTCCCCGGAGCGAAGGCTCGCATCATATAACCTCGACCCCTGGAGTCCCAAAGATGGGGGTCAGGGCAAGGATTGCAGATTGGCCCCCGCGAAAGGAAAACGTAAAAGAATCGAGCCGTTCTAGCCAGGAAATAGAAACCTCCAGTTGCCTTGAGAGCCTGTCCTCCAAAAGCAGTCCCGTGAGCCAGGGAAGCTCTGTGAGCCTCAACTCCAGTGACTCAGCCATGCTGAAGAGCATACAGAACACGCTGAAGAGCAAGGCGAGGCCGGCGGAGAGCATGGACTCCCGATTCCTGATGCCTGAAGCCTACCCCAGCTCGCCTAGGAAAGCTCTTCGCAGAATCCGGCAGCGGAGCAATAGCGACATTACCATAAGTGAGCTTGACGTGGACAGCTTTGATGAATGTATCTCACCCACATACAAGAGTGGGCCATCACTGCACAGGGAATATGGTAGCACATCTTCAATTGACAAGCAAGGGACATCCGGAGACAGTTTTTTTGATTTGTTAAAGGGCTACAAAGATGACAAATCTGACCGAGGTCCAACCCCGACCAAGCTCAGTGACTTTCTCATCGCCGGTGGGGGCAAAGGTTCTGGCTTTTCTTTGGATGTTATAGACGGACCCATCTCACAGAGAGAGAGCCTCAGGCTTTTTAAGGAAAGGGAAAAACCACTCAAGCGACGTTCTAAGTCTGAAACTGGAGACTCATCCATTTTTCGTAAGTTACGCAACGCCAAAGGTGATGAACTTGGAAAGTCCTCCGACCTTGAGGACAACCGGTCAGAAGACTCCGTCAGGCCCTGGACGTGTCCAAAGTGCTTTGCCCACTATGATGTCCAGAGCATACTGTTTGATTTGAACGAGGCCATTGTGAACAGGCACAACGTCATTAAGAGGAGAAACACCACCACAGGAGCCTCGGCAGCCGCCGTGGCATCCTTGGTCTCTGGGCCTTTGTCCCATTCAGCCAGTTTTAGCTCCCCAATGGGCAGCACCGAGGATCTGAACTCCAAAGGAAGCCTCAGCATGGACCAGGGGGATGATAAAAGCAATGAACTTGTCATGAGCTGTCCTTACTTTCGGAATGAGATAGGTGGTGAAGGGGAAAGGAAGATCAGCCTGTCTAAGTCCAGTCCCAGCTCCTTCAGTGGGTGTGAAAGTGCCTTCGAGTCTGCCCTCAGCCCCCACTGCACAAACGCGGGAGTGGCAGTGCTTGAAGTGCCCAAGGAGAACCTACTGTTGCATCTGGATCGAGTGAAAAGGTACATCGTGGAACACGTGGATCTCGGCGCATACTATTACAGGAAATTTTTCTACCAGAAGGGTGAGTGGAGATCCTCTCTGGGAAAATAGTAGATATACTGTATATTAAGATTTTCAGCAGTGTGGTGTTACTGTTTGCGTGAATCCTTTTGATTTCTTATGGTCAAGTAATTAAATGGCTGTTTGCTATAATTTATTTCTTTGTGTAGTATTTGAGTTACTTTCCCCTTTCAAATATACAGCTGTCTTGTATATTAAATATTAATTTTGAATAAAAAACTTGATGTAGTTAGTAAAGATATAGTCTTTGTATAGATTTGCTATATTACTTTTAGGCATAAATGCATGAAGTTGAAAATACTGTAAGGCTTTTTTGATCAAAGTTGCAAAGACAATTTTAATGCTCCCTTTCATATTGGAGCACTTTTGTTCTTAGTACGGAACTCTTCCCTTGCGGCCTCAGTGTTCTTCTCAGTAACAGGGCACTACAGTATGCTTCCAATCCATTTTACAGACTTTCTGTGAGAATGAATTACATGATTTATAAAGGCACAGAGCCAATTATTTTAAGAGTCAAGAATGAAACCTAGGTCTTTAGTTTGAGTAGAAAAGGCACCAAAGAGAAGAGGACTCATAACATGTTGGCTGCTTCCTTTCTGGTTTCTCTAGGGGAGCTGGGGAGTGTGTGTGTGTGTGTGTGTGTGTGTGTGTGTGTGTATCTCCTTAAATGTATATATACTTGGTGTGCTACTTCACAGTTTCATCTCATGCTTTGAAGAAAGGCACTTGTACTTTATTGAAAAGTGAATAGTGTAAGTGAATTGTTGAAGAGCTTCCTAATTGCTTTATGTAGCATGATTAATGAGGGACGAGTTTAAGTCATCCAAGTTTGCAGTCTGGGAAACAGGTTGATCCCCATGGAAGGGTGTCCACTGTGGTCCATTAGTTAGCTCCGTCATCTCTGCAGTCAGGTACCGAGGCCTTGGCAAGAGGCTCCCTGACTGCAAATGACTCCAGCAGTGTTTTGATTTCCCACTTATTGTTTGAGGGGTTTGCATGTTATTTAGATTTATTCATCTGATGAAGTTTAGTTTTACATCTGGTATTCATTATAGCTTTATGACATTGTTCACTTTAGAATACAATTTATCTTAAGATTGTTACATGATGGAACTCATTCTGGAAGGTTTACTGACTGGAAGAATCTTGTCTCATTTCTAAATATCTATGGCACAAGTCCTGGAATCAATATGATAATGAAAATCTTTATTTCATTTTAAACAGTATGATACTTAATTTTGTCACAGCAAGGCTCTGGATTCAGATTTTAGAAACCACATCTCTATTACACTGTCCTGCCAGCTACAGAGTTTTTCAGCCTCACCAACATGGGGTGTGGGACCAGCTAATTCTTTCCTTTGTTGGGATGGGGTGGGAGGTTGTCTGGTGCATTGTGGGATGTTTCCCAGCATCCCTGACCTCAGCCCCCTACATGCCAGCATCTTCTCCCTTCCTCTGGGTTGTGACAGCCTAAAATGTCGCCAGGTGTTGCCAGATGTCCTTTAGGAGGTAACATTGTGTCTGGCTGAGAGTCTCTGCTTTACTGTACTCCGGGAAGTTTTCTGTGGGTGTGTCTGAGCAGTGTATAGGGGAGGCAGTCTTGCAAGCGTTAAACATGAGAGAGAACATACCAGTCACGGGCCTGCTTATGTAGCATGTGGGCTGTTTTCCTATTAGGAAATATCATAATGTTGTAAGGAACATTTTTGAGCACTTACATAGCAGGCTCTGTACTAAGCATTTAATGTGATGCACATTTTCTCAGCTCAGCCTCTTGATGCCCATGAGGTAAGTAGGCAGTTGCTAATCCCATTTTCCAGAGGAGAAAACTGGCACTTAGGTGATATGCTGCCTTGTATCCAGCACCTGTTAGGTCAAGGATCCACCCTTGGTCTGAGGAGAGAGAGCTGTGCTCTTCCTCTCTGTTCCTCAGATCTACTCTGGAAGACTAGAGGGAGAGACTCGCTTACTTAAAGTGTTTACCTTTCAGAAAGGTGAAGTGGAAAGGAGAACACCTAGATTCTAGAGGAATTCTGATCATTTATAAAATTTCATACATTTAAAAGCCACTAATCCAGTAATTGCTAATTTGAAGTATGGGACATAGCATTATACCCAACACAATGGGAACTGGCTAATTGACATTACTGGTTAAATAGCAGAGATGTTAAAATATATGCATATCTGAAATATCTCATTAAGTATTTCATTAGAACATATTAAAAATACATTTACTACCTGCTGAGGCCAGAGGGTTTTCTCTGACAGCATTCTACTTGTTTGATTCCACACTGCATTATTAGTCTCAAGCATAAGAGCTAAAGTATGGACACCGGCAAGTCTTTCCAAAGCTTTCAGTATTGCTTTCAAAATAATTCAGTTTCATAATTAAAGTAACAAGTTACCTGGCATAAAGGTGTAGGGAGACACAGCTGACTGTCCTTGTGAAATCCAGTTGGTGGGGGCACAAGGTTGCCCACTAGCCTGCTCATGCCCATGGACATTGATCAGTGTGGATTAGAGAGGGAGTGGTCCGTATTGGTTAATCCAGGAACCTCGAACACAGGTGCCTGCTAAGCTAGCTCTTCTTGGGCCACATCATTTAGAATTTTCAATTTGGGCAGGTCATTTGTCACAATGTAAAAGTGTATCAAAAATTGTAACCCTGAATGGTATCAGTTGAAGCAGAAATTAAGCCTGTTCAAGTATGACAGTGGTGTTGTTGTTTTTTGGTTTTAGATTTTATTTATTTATTTGAAAGGTGAAGGTACAGACAGAGAGGGAGACACAGAGAGAGAGGTCTTCGATCTGCTGGTTCATTCCTCAGATGTCCGCAACCAGAGCTGGGCTGATCCAGCCAGGAGCTTCTACCTGGTCTCCCATGCAGGTGAAGGGACCCAAAAACTTGGGCCATCTGCCACTGCTTTCCCAGGCCACAGCAGAGAGCTGGATCGGAAGAGGAGCAGCTAGGACTAGAACCGGAGCCCATATGGGATGCTGGCAATGCAGGTGGAGGCTTAGCCCACTATCCCACAATGCAGGCCCCTGTATGTTTTAAAAACATATATGTTATCGGTATTTTTTAATATATTTCTCATCCAAAATATTCTAAAATCTGAAAGCTTTTGAGTGCTAACACGATGTTAAAAGTGGAAAATTCCACATACATAAAACAAATAATACATTTGTTTTGTGTACAGAATGACTAAAAATTCTATAGAAAGTCACCTTCAGGGTATGTGTGTAAGGTATATATATATGAGGCATAAATGAACTGCTTATTTAGACATGGGACCTATTCTGAAAAATAACCTAAATCCAGAACGCTTATGGTCCTTAGTGTTTTTGGATAAGGAATAGTCAGCCTGAGTAGTCCAAAGGTTCTATTTTGTAACTTTCAGTCTACGACTTAGATTCACTGAAATTGCTGCACTAACTCATTTTGCTTGGTCGGAACCTTAAAGCATGTCAGGTCAGATGTGTTCATCCTCTAGCACCGACCTGTAGGGTCACTGACCTGGCTGTCAAGGCAGCCTCTTCATCACCACATAGCTTCCATTCTGCTGTTGAATGCGTTCCTAACTTGATTGTGGCTAAGTCTCCAAGAGAAAACAAAATTTACTGAAGTACACTCAATGACCAAAATTCTAGGTAAAGTTCAGTCCTTTTCAGCTGATAGAGCTGTGACCCCTTTTTAATAGTGTGCTGTTTTTGTAAACTTCATTACTTTGCACATGTAGACTTTAGAGGATATTTGACTCCTACATGGAAGCAAAGTCCATTGCTGGAAAAGGCTGGGCCAGCAGAGCGCTCCGTCGTTTGTGCTCATTAAATAAACAACATGTTACTGAGGACTTTCCGTCTGTCCTTCCTCCTGCCCGCTGCTCTGCCAGCTTGCTAGTGTGTGTGCTCATGTCGAGACTCACCCAGAATGAAGCGGCAGTCGTAATACAGCAGGTGTTTGTAGTGATACTACTTTGTGTCTTGGGCAGACTTCGTGGGATCCTGGGGTGAACCTGTCACTGTGGGTAGAGAGACCCAGACTAGTCAGGAGGGTAACGTTCAGATCACTGCAGACGTGAGTTTAGTTTTTATTTAGATAGTCGCCATAGTCAAAGTAGCCAGGAAATGTGGAAAAGCATGTGGAAAATAACAAAGCCACAGAATGCTAATGTTGCCGTGGCTTTCGAGGAGGGATTCTTTCCTAGCCATGACTGATCTTCCTTTCTGTGGCCACACCAGACTTTCCCAGTTTGCGTTGAGAGTACAGTCGCCTTTGAGGCACTTTCTCCCTGAATCCCGTTTGTGAAGACAGTGGAGCCCACGAGTTGCTCTGGCAGTTGTGTTTGCTGCTGCATTGGTCAGCAGTGTAGACAGGCTTGCTGTATGCACGCTAGGATGCCGTGATAAGTGAGGGCATTCCTCTCTTGCCCAGTGGCCTGGACAAACTGCCAGCATGGTCTGAGGAACGTCTGGAAACATTTTCTGCTCCTTAAGAGAGGGAGGATCAATGCTTGTGCACCTGCTTATCCTGCTAACTCTAAACCACCAAGATGGTCCTTGTAACTGTTCTCCTTCCTGCTCCTACACTTGGCACCTGTCCCCACCCCAGCCCCAGCACACTCGCGTATTCACGGGGATGCTTCCCTGCGTGCAGAAACACAGATGAGGTTGATCATATGCTGGGCCCCAGGATTGTTTGAGAAGACCACTTGGATTTCCATTGCTGTTGAACTGCTTTGCTTCTCACTCTCTGGTCATCAGCCATCTTTAACGTCATTCCTTTAGAATATCACACTTAACTTCCTTTTCCTTCCTGTCAGCTTTAGCACCCCAGTAGAATCTCCATTTTGCTATCAAAGGGCTGTTTTTCAAATCAGCATCATTGAGTAGCCATTCTAAGTTTTATTGAGTTTTCTAATAAATGCAGAACACCAGAAAGTAGAACTGAAAAGGAAAATTATCTAGATCGAGAACCAAACAGCCACATCATCTTTACAC